GTTATGCAGAATTATCTGCTGATGAAATTTTTTGTAGAATCCTGACTGGGTAAAACGATCACCAAATTGGAAATTTTCCATTGGAGAAACACTGCTTTCTTCTAAATCCTTTATATATAAGGTTGGTTATTTAAACAGATAGAATTTAGAAGGAAATGAGTTACTTACGATTTAGTCCATTCTTTGAGGGTGTCAGAAAGACAAAATCATCATTTGAACTAAATGCTTTAAATCACAGCATTAGTTTTCGAACAACAACCGACTACTGATATATAAGATTTAGGAAATCAAAATAGTGGCTAAATTAGTTTTGTGTTCAAACTAATGAAATTTTGAATTCCTTGCGATGTTTCCAGCTTCACTTTCCAGCATTCTCTGTGGTCAGTTAATGCTGATTTCGCATTAAAACATGAACGTGCTGCACTTGTTCAGGGGCCTTCACATCGCTGTCCACCATCTGTTTCTTCAGCATATAAAATCGTTAACACTTCCAAGAAAAAGTCTGTTTGAATTTTAAATTTGTGTAGAATTGTTGGTACATAAATTATTTTTTAATTAACTCTAGAACTTCGAACTTCTAAATGAAGTTTTGCATGAAATTTGTGGGCAAATTGAAAGCGTTTATTTATTTCATTTCATTTTTATTCGTGTGACATTGTTATTTCAGATGCACCAGTGATATGCTGAAGAGTTTTGAACCGTACGAAGAGATAAAACTACGAAACATGAGTGGTGATTGTTAAGCGGTTAGGGAAATGAATAAATTTTTAAAAATTGGTTGGTTTTAGGAAGTTTTGTCATTGTCCATTGAGCAAACTATCGTAAACTCGTCAGTTATGTTTTATCCTTAGTAAATTTTTAATAATATTTAGCTTTATTTTATTGTGTGTTTCTTGTACACTGTGCATACGTTTAATACATGTCAGAAAAAATTTTTTTTTACTTGCTTGCTGTATCGTGCCTGTACTACATTGGTTGATCAAACTTTTTTCTGATTGACTTTCTTATCATGATGTAATATATTGTTACAGTCTGATTAGTGTACTATTCTCTACAAATACCATGAAAACGATGTCAAGTGATATCTTTTAGCAGAAATGCAAGGCAGTTACCAATCTCAGTAGATAAGTTTTATTTCACACTGGCTTTTTACTCTCATACTTTCGAATTGTAATTTTATATGCAATTTTATTGCCAAATAAACTTTAAAAAAAAAAAAATAGTTGAGAAAAATGACCTTACTGGAAAGACGCTTGTATAATATCTTTATTTTGATTAAGTGAGAAACAAGGTCATTAGAAGATTTCTAATAAACCAAGGGATAAGGATTATACAGTTTCACAATTTATCAAAATTCGTGTCGCAGTGACGCGTCTTACATTTATTTTCTTCATCCGTTGCTTTGCCTCATCGCTCATCATGTTTTTCTTTTTATTTTCATCACAACATATCCCTTGAAACAATCGAACAATGAGGATTCTCATGAATTATTTACTGCGAATCAATCTTACTTTATAGGTAGTAAAATGGAATAAATAAACTTAAATAAGCCACTACAAATATGGTCGCATGTTTGATCTCTTTTGTTTTGGGAAAAGATTATATTAATATATTGCAGGGAAGAGTTTATCTTAGGTATAAAGCTGATATCTTCAATGCAGAATAGAAGGAAGATTGTTGAAGTACTTGGTGAAATTGGAAATTTGAGTAGAGAATAGTCCTTCCCTAACTTCTTTAATTCATTATAAAGTTGACTTTATATTCATTTATAATTAATTCAGTACAAAGTTGACTTCATCATCTTGAAAATAAGTTCCCCAGCGTATGGTAAGAATAAGGAATGCTTCAATAAATCAATACTAACAAATATAAGTTTTTTTCTGAAATTTTCTTCAGAATTGTGGATTATGCCATGAATTTTTTGAAAATCTGGAAATATTTACTAAATTTCTGTGATCCACTTTCGAGCGTCTGCTTAAGTTTTTTCATGAATCTCATTCTCTCATTTACTTCAAAGTTTTCAAAATTTTCTTAGTATTTTAAATAACTAGGAAGAGAACTGGAAAGCTATCCCCATAAATAAATTTGATACACTGTTGATGTGTAACACTGACAAATTTTAATGAGTGCAATTTTTCGAATCTTCAACCAATTAGCAATTAATTATCAATTAATTATGATTGCCGTGATTAAAGTAATTGATTTGTATGACTGGAAGGATATATTCATGATTATTTTGTTTAAATACATATTAGGGAATAGGTATGATCTGAAGTGAAAACTAGAAAAAAACTAGTTCATTCATTTCCGAAACTCAAAAAAAAAGTAAACTGGTCTATCTTGTGAAGTATATTTTAGTGTTCCGCCCAATTTAATTTAACGGTTTTGTTTTTCGATTCATCCTTCGACTTCTCACATTCTAATTTCATTTGTAATCATTGCATGATCAGTACATATCGCTGCTCATTAGCCATCTTAATAATTAAACAATTAAGACGGTTAAACCGATAACGAAAGATTATGAAGCTAAAAATAACACTTGTAATAAATGGAATTGTTAAGTGTTAGTATGGGATGAATAAATTATAATTTGATGATTGTGCGCCCACATTAAAGGATGCCGAAATCATAACGTAAACTTCAGCTGCTCCGTTAAATGTTAATAGTTCCCAAATTTTATTGAATACAGAGTTGTGGATTACTTAATGTTTGAAATTTTAAATTAATTCTTTACTTTTTCAAATTACAATTGTGGACTTTTTACCGTTCAAAAAAGGTTTTTAATTTTTTTATTGGTATATTTGTCGAAGTTTTTGAAGTTTTCATCATGCTCAAAAAATTTTAGTGAAGTAAAAAATTCATTGTAGTGATATTCAAAAAGTCATAATTAATTGTATTTTGTGAAGATCAATTTATACAAGTATGCATCATATAAATTTATAGCTGAATTCAACTATAAACAAATATTGTTGACACCGTCAATGTTATTACTATTGATACGAATTTGTTAAAACAGTCCAAAATGAAATGTAAAAAATGAAACTACTTTGAAATAGTAGTCGATTTCGGCATTTCATTTTGTTAAGTTCCGTTTTTTATTGCGTGATCTCAGCTTTATTCTCAAATTATGCATGATTGTTTGCTTTAGTAAAGCAATCTCTTATTTATTCTGTAAAATTCAATTTTTTGATGACTGCTTACTTTTCACTTATCAATAAAAAAATTTATCCATTTCACGTGTATTCTGTTTTATCCATCAAAGGTTTCTCACGTTCACGTTTTTTAACTCCAAGCATTAGTGAATAAAATTTCTGATATCAGCTAATTGCGTATGAATGAATATTTTTACTTTCTTTTCTTTTGTTTCAAAGTTTTTGATTTAAGACAATAAACTTTAGATGCAATGCCATCTTTATATTTGTTTCAATGGCAAAAGACAAGGAAGAAATGTATGGGAATGAATCGGGATTCATTCAGTGTTTCAATCAAATTTTTGACCCTAAGTGATAATTAGTTATAGCAATTTCACTAACAGCAAATTGCTAATATTAGCTGTTGAACATTCTTCATTCATGTCTATTCTTCCCCTTTCAAACAATTTTTTAAATTACTCAGCGATGATTGAAAGAGAGAAATTTTCTCTGTCATTGGTGATATCATCGAATTTGACATTATTATATTTCCGATTACTATATTGCTTTAACCATTGGTTTTTTCATAGAAAAGTGCACGTACCATTCAAACTTAGTATTTTTAAGATAAATTGTAGTTATTTCAAATTAAATAATAGTAGTGACTAGTTGCGGTTGTTAGATGGCAAATATACAATATATGATATAATGGCTGGAATTGATGATGTTTTTTACTTGAAATATAAGATATGTAAGCTGAGATAACTTAGGAATTTTAAAAGAGAACAGCGCAAAAATTGGAATGAGATATAATTAGTGGTAGTTAGTTGTAAAGTATTGCTTTGAAATAGATGACTAATTATTAGCGATTTCCGTCGAGTTAAAGTTGCAGATAGAGTCAGTTAGTCGTAGTTGCACCTGCCGTGTTCTTCTGTTGTTAAGGTTGAGATGCACGCTAGTTCTAGCTCCTTCCTCTTCCTGTACTTCTAATCTAGCTCGAGACTGAGCTACTACTACTATATGCCAAAGTATTGAACGATTCATCGAGAGCTCTTCCTTCCATCACTTCCCTTTGCCTTTCCACGTTCAACTTTACTCGTTTTATATATCAGACATATGGCTGGTTAAGTCATTAGTAAGAACAATTCGTCACTGATATTGAAAAGAAACTTAAAATGTTATTGATTTACTGGAGAGACACTCTCCAGTTTAATAACTATTCCAGAATCCTTCAATCATTTTCATATAATAGCTGGATTAAATAAAATTAAATGTATTTTTCTACTGGCAGTTTAAATATGTGTATATTTGCAATTCAAATTGTTTTAGTTTAGTCACTTTGGCTTGTTTAAAAACAAAAAATTTAAAAATCTTTTTGGGGGACCTTGGCTTTAAACACTTTGGCCTTTTTTCTAGTTTTAGCATAATCTCAAAAGAGTCATCCCATTTCCGCCCTCACATTCTTCAGATATGCAATGTATTGTGTAATATTTGCGTTTCTTTTGTTGAATGAACTGACTGTAAACTTCCTGTATGCATGTTACCTGTTTAAATCAACTGCAGCTTTTAATAGGATTTCATTATATATATACAGTTAGTCTCCTCAATTGTTCTGTCATCTATCTCAGAGACTGTCCTCGATCATAGATATGCTTGTGCCAAATAAATAACACTTATTTCTTTTACATACTCAGTTGACTTATATATTAGTACAATCTATCGAAATTATTTTTCGATACTGTTAAGATAACAGAACTGAGAAATTAAAAGAAAGGAATAGGTAACCGTAAGTAATTTTATGACTAAGTACTACCTGGCTCCTTTTCAATGATGTCACCATATGAAGTTAATTTGTAACTATTCATAGGGATGTCTCAATATGAACCGTGGTACCTACGTCGAAGATGTCCAATATTTTTTTATCCATGTGTACCTGTGTATGTTGGCGTATGGCCAGCAAGGTTAGTAACATACTTTCTCCAAGTATTATAGAAAATAAAAAAATTGGAGTCCAAAAAAATATAAGATATTCTTGAAATACCAAAATACTTGATTTTAATTTCAAATTCCGCATTTATAATTGTTTCCCTTGATACTTATTGTTATCGCATTGCAGGAAATGTGTAGTTATCTTGAGTGCAATACTGTTTGCAATCGGTGTGATGATTTTACTTGGTTTATTACTTACCTGTATTGCTGTTGAATGTTCTGCCATGTTAGTTGTTTTCGAAATTGCTGTTTGACTATATAACAAGGCACACCTAGTAGACACACCTACTAGCACTTCTGCGTTGACACTCTCATCAACTGTTTAAATACAGCAGCAAAAAAAAAGAGCAAAGGTTCTCTAATAGCTAATCATTGATTCTCCTAATGATTGTTGATGCGAGATGATAGTGCTCAGAAAAACTTAATCCTCTTGTGAGTGAGATATAGCAATCAAAAGTAAAATTTGTCATCTGTTAGGACAGGACTTTACGTTTATTTTTGTTCATCGTTCGCATAATGATAAATTCTGTGAACTAGGCTTGGGAATATTAATGAGCTGAAATTTAAACTTCGAGTTTGTGTGTGAAAACTTTACTGATCAGTTTGTTTCTGTATAGAACTGAAATGTTATACAACTTAGTGAAAGCAAAGACAAAATAAAGAATTTTAAAACTGAAAAGTAAAAAATTTTGAAGTGCTGGTGCTTTATTACCACTCGCTTTATTATTAATTATGTACCGTAAGCGATCATTTTCTCCACTTAAAATTTCTACTTTATTCATAACTGCGATTCAAATGAACATTAGTGTCTATCACATAGTAATATTTTCTTTTATTATTTACTGTAAGTTTGATAAATAATTTAACTTTTCTCAACTGTCATTTATATTAAGCGTGAAAGTTGTAACAAATGAAGAAAAAAGCCCAAATCCTGATGAAATAGCATTGTTTGAGAGTGCCTATAAAGAGCCAATACCAGAGGTATGTTTGCTTTTATGTAACAAAATTCTTTAAAGTATTTTAAAAATGTATTAAAGACATTAATTTCTTTAATAGGAATGGCAATGATTTGCAAAGCAAATGAATTTTCAGAACAGTTTCGTGTCTGAGAATTTAGCTGAAAAAGAATCATTAGGAAAAATTAGATTTAAAAAATGCTCTCGGCAGCATTGAATATTTTCTTAAAAATAATTTACTTGTATGAATTTTTCTCAATGAACTTTATGCTATATTTATGAATGTCTAATTCCACTTCTGTAACATTGTGACATTATCCAAATTTAAAGAATTTGAATATTGCAGATTAGGCAAGGTTACTGGCAATTTGAAGATAAATTAGCATGGCAAACTGTTGCTAATCCATATCCAATACAGTTAGTTTCCATATCGACACTTTTTATTTCTTAAAAAAAAAGTTAAATGAAATTTGCAAAAATTATAGAAACAACTGAGTTAATGCATCAAAATATATTTTTCAGGCATACATTGAGAAATACGGTTGAACGTCCGGAATACTAAAGTGTAAAAAATGCGAAACACTGAAACTACCTTGTACGACAGGAACATGAAAATCATAAAATTATTAAAATTGACAAGTGGTGAAGAGATTTCGTTGCTTATCATTTTGCTATGATAAGCAACGAAAAGCCTTTTCAATTTGCAATAAAACTAAAGTTGTAACTCACCTTGCCTTGTTTCCTTCATAAAAAATCTGCTTTTTCCTGATAATACTGAAGTTTGTTTCATATATTTTAAAACAGATTTCACTCTATGCAAGGGATTTTTTTCAATAATTATTGTTTTGATAGGTTTTATAAGATTTAAAAACAAGTGATAGTGGGTTTATATTTTGCTTGGATATAATTTGCTAAAACTTTTAAAATTGCCTACATATACTTTCATATCTTTTTTGTAAATGGTTTTGCTTCTTCAATTAGTCATTATTAGTTTGGATTGTTATTTAGCCAAGGATTAGTTTTTTGCGCTTAACAAATGAATTCGTCCTGTTGTATGCTCATATTCCATTCATTCAAAAAAAGAAAAAAAAAAGAGACAAGTGCTTCACAAAATTGGTCCTCAATTCATAGCTTTTGCAATTAAAGTTATCCACTTCCACAGATTATATTATTTGCTTATTTTTAATTTGCCTCTTATAACCATTATGATTATTTCGACGCTTATTTTATTATTTCAGAATACTTTCCTGATTTACTTAAGCCATAATTTTTGCATGCATATGCTTTCGCAGCATTTCAGAATCGAATTAAATTGCTTCATATGTTATTACTTATCATTCGATACTTACATAAATTAGTACATTCTTAACAGCAGTTTATCACTTTGATCTCTTTTAAAGCAGTAAAACATAATTCCTTTATTTTTCAATTTCTGAGAATTTCCAACAATAATGAAGAGATAACGAAACAATGTCTTCCAAGAAAAATGTAAGTATGGAATATCTGTTCAAAACAATTTTTTTTAATTTTAATTTAATAAAAGAGAGCTAAAATTGTATTTACAATATTTGAAATCATTCTAAGAGCCATTATAAGTTTAGCTCAATTTTCATTAACAGCTATTGAGAAAGTTTATTTCAATGCAAACTTCCTTCGCTTTATTGCAAACTGAAATACAGTAGTAATCGGTTGTGGTCTTCTTGCAGCAGTTTTTGCGACAAAATTTTTGCAATAGTTTTTCTTCGCGAAAGAGCTTTGAAGTTATTCGGAGTTAATATTCCAATTGCTTGCAATAAAATATTTCATTCAATAGTTTTTTTCTTGTAAGATAAGTAATCGACTGCAGGTGGAAGAAGGTAGCATCACTGCAATATCACAGTTAAATCATAGTGATGAGTGGCTGTCATTTTGGGAAATTGAAATATGGAGAGAATTTGGTTACCCACAACTGTTCATTTTACAATGATCGAAATTCGATATATCTCTTCATTTCTTCCATCACTTTCCGCTTATCCTCTTTCTTTCTTAATTGTTTGAGAAAAGCTAAACTTCCATTATTTTCAAATTTTAACTTAGTAGAATTTAACAGAAGAAAGTTTAGCTTCCAGTTCTTTTTCAATAGCATTTTGTTGATTTAGCCTAAAGTTAATACGATGCCAAAGTGCATCAAATGGTTTAACAAAAGTGAAAGAATATCACATGTTAAGGAAAGATGAATAACTATTTTTGTAAATAAATTTTCTAGGAAAAATCGGAATATTCTGCATCATTTCAACTTCTCGATGTTTGATTTTGTCAATTTATGGTAGTAATGTATTGGTAGTATTCCTAAAATATATTTATTATATTGCCTTCTGTTCAACAGCTGTTAAACGATGTAAGGAGAATTGTCCACTGATATTAGCATTTGAGTTAAAACTATTACTATTCGTACTTTTGCTTATCTTTTTATATATCCATTTTATGCTGGCTTTTTATATAACAAATTTGATGAGTAATAGGATAAGTACTGTAGTCTTTGGGATACTTCAATTAGATTTCGATGGAATGGAAATTTTTTCTCAAAAATTTGGGGATAATCCCATTCCATTATATATATTTTATGGTAATAACACTTTTAAGTTAGCCTTTAATTTTTGTTGTTCAAATATTCGATTAGATATTGAGATAGTAAAGCTGACATTTGTTATCATCAACCTTGTAATTATAACAGTAAATTATATATGATATATAGAAGAAAAACTTCTTTGTAATACATTAAAAGCATAATAATTATTTCTGCTTATCCATTATGGAGGAATAAAGCTAGCAGATTTTTTTGCAGATCTCGAGATCATCCATTTAAGACCCAATCTCAATTCGATTGATGTTTTGTCGTAATCGAAAAATAAAAGAATTGTTGTGCCCATCAGCAACGGATAATACATTGATATAGTTCGTAGTGACTGATAGTTTCTTCCGGGACTTTGCATGGTTCAAATCACTAATTGACCTTGGCAAGGACAATTGTCGTCTGAAAGAAGAAGCTGTACGGGTACTGCACTGAGAAGAAGAAACATAGCGAACTTTTGCGCAGTACTATAGGCTGTATTACATATATTGATAAGATGATCTGCTTTGAGTCTTTTGGGTTCTGAGCTGAGAACTAGGTAAATAGATGACAAAAAGAGCTGATGTATAGAACATCAAGAATGGAAACTATTCCGTATAGCTTTTTCAAATCTTCACCATTTTCTAAGACGAGAGATAATTTTATTGAAAGTTAAAGTTTTGCAAAGCAACAAAAAAAGCAGTTTAAGAAGAGCAATAAATTGGTTCATGCAATTATCTTCCAACCTCTTTAAGATTGTTCTTCTAAGATCGCACTTCGATCACATTGAACCATTTCTTTTTTCTTTTTTCTAATGAAGAAGTTGTTTATGATAATTGCATTTATATTTGAGTTTTTTCTTACCTAATTTTATAAGTTTTAAGCTTCTAATATATTAATAATTGAAAAATATTTTTACCAATTTTCAGATTATGAAGACTAACTAATACTAACCCCTAGAATAAATTTTCAAACTGTTTCTTGAATCAATGAAAATTGCTGCTGTATTCTCAACGGTGGATTAGTGGTGGAGTAAAATACAAGAACTGCAAGTAAGTATCAAATCATCTCGGACAAAAAATGATGATTTTCGGAAGTGTTTTAATCTTTTCGTTCCTTCTTTTGATAGCAACGTTGTTTAACTCTTTTTCTTATCTTCAAATTCTGCTATAAATTCGAGAATGTTGAAATAAGAAAGTCACTTCCATTATTTTTCTCTTTCTCAATGAATTTCTGAGATCGTACTTTGGTCACACTTTTTTGCAATGAGATATGAAAATGATTTTTCAACAGTTAATTAAAAAAATCCAAAATCTACTATTAGTTAGAATATTCAAAAGAAAAAAATGCAGTTACCGGTCTTCTAATAGCTATGAAGAATAAAAAGATGAAAGTTTGGATATAAGCGAGTACAATCGGATAAGATAAATGAATTGAAAGTCATGCATGATGAATGATAGGTCTTGTTTTCATCAAATTCATATTATTTCATTGCTAAAAACTCACAATTTTGGCTCATTTCAGTTTTAATTTCACTTTAAGAGAGAAAAAGTAGATATGGTTGGTTATTTGTTTTTCAAAATATCAATTCTTTTATTCTTTCTCGATCAATTAATTAAGTCACTAAAATAGTTATTTCATTTACTTCTGCTTTTTCTATTTATCAAACATATTTGATGTATCAGTAATGTATTTCAATATCCTTAAATCGTCGATCACAAATATTCCTTTCAAATTAGTTCTTTAAGAAATGAAAAAATGGATTGAAATTCTAAAAATTCAAATTAATTCTTAGTAAAATGAATACTCAAAATGCATTGCAGGAAGTTAACGAATCAATTCGCTCAATTGTTACGGAATTAGGTGTCGTCAGTTCGCCTATTTCAATAGCTTTATTGCTTATTTTTTTTATTGTAGTCAAATTCTTTTTTATAATAAACCGTTTTTAACTTAAGATTTGTCTTATTTCCTTAATATCTGGAAAAGTTCAGTCCTAATTTAGAAAGAAATAAGAAAGAGGTATCTTCCGAATACTATCTAAAGTTGATTAAATTCTATTCGTTGCTATAAGAATCCTTACAATTATTTTTTTCCCCTTTCTACCCAATAATATTTCAATTTACAACTATTTGAATGTCACATAAGTCACTTTATCATATTATAATGGTAGCTTTTAATATTTCTAAGTGTTAATTTATCAAATATCGCTTTCATTGAAAATGACATTGGTCTGTTTATTCCGGTTTGTATCTTTTATTTTCCATAGTAATCTAGAAAATATTTTTTAGCTCTCAAAACATTGTGAAGAATCAATTAGGTTAAAATTGGGACGCGAGCTATTTTTTAGAAAAAGCTAAAAGGTAGTATGGGAATTGATGTTAATTTTTGCTGTTTCGGAAATCCTAAGAACTGGCTTTTTATTTCTAGAAATTTTGGATGCTAAAAAAGAATAGGGCATGAATTTTCATACTTTCATTTTAAAATTCTTGTCGATAAAAACTTATTTCTTCTATTTGCAAAGCGTCAATTATATTTCTGCAAATGTACAACATATGTAGATTCTCTTTCTAAAGTTTGTTTTTTCCTTGAATTTCGGATTTCTAATCCTCTTTTCTGTTTCATGCCACGATTTTCTCCTTTGCTTATCTAAGCCCGACCATCTTTTCACTTTTGTCTGCTCAAAAAAAAAAATAAAAATAAAAAACTTTCAAAAAATTAAATTGTGCAATTAAAATCATTCTTTAAAATCATAAAATTCAGTCATTTTCTTCAGCTATCTTAAACTTAATATAGTAGAGTGAAATTGATGTGAAATATGAATTTGAATGTGTACATTAGTTGAAATTCCGTCTTTCTCTTTAGGATGCAACTGAAATCCGTTGAAGAGAAAAACTCATCATTAAGCCATTGCAGTGTAACGTTGAAGATTTTAAATTTTAAAATTAGTTTCCACTTGTTAAACAAATTTGATTTGATTTTTATTCACTTATATCATAAATTCCTTCTTTTCTCTCTACTGCAAGAATTTAAACACTTTTGAAAGCTTTTAGGACAATTCAAACATCTGTCTTGTTTAGCCAGAAAGTCCGGAAACGCTACACTTCTTCCATACACATTAATTACAGTTATTCATCTATCTCTGAGCAAATCTTTCAATAACGAACGACTAATTCAGTAGCATAATTTTATTTTCTAATAACGCAGCGCAAAAGAATTCCTCAGCGCTGCTACTATTTAGCCACGGAGCACTCACTCATCTGATGTGATGGAAAATCAAAGAATTTATTGGCATGAATGAAGTGGCACCAATAGATTTAATGTGCAGTCAGTTCTTTGATTGCACCTCAAGGGTGACAATTCAGCAGCAGCATTTGCTAAACTTGAAACGTTTTGTTTTTCATCTGTTCTATCAAATGTGAACAATGTGAATTGTAGGGACAAATATAATACTTAATGGGTAATTTTTGAATAATTACGTTTCTTTAATTTTTGTAAAATTTGTCGCGTACTTCTACAAAGTGCTCTATTGGTAATAGGCATGAAATGTGACACTGTGTACCTTCGATCCTACTATAACTTTCCACTCTTTAATCTTTGGACTCAACTTGTCAAGAGATATGACCTTTCCTCTCACGTCCAATGCTTACATTATTTGTGATATCATCATCTACTATTGCACTAATTCCAGCCTCCAAATTTGGGATTGTGTCTTTTAAGTAATCTTTGACCTCTTACAGAATTCATGATATCCTCTTAAAATAAAAAAAGTTTGATTTTTTTCTTTATTTCTTGATTCAATCGATTTCCTTCTCCTTTTTCAAGGAACTGCAATGTGCTGACAAAGAACTTTGCTTACATGGATTTTTATAAAACTTTTTCTCTGCAAATCTTTTGTAAGGAATATTTCTTGCAGCTTAATTGAAACTTGAAATAATCCTTTTTTAATTTTATCTTTAAGGAAAGACGAAAAAGAATTACAACTCACTAAATATTATTGAAATATTTTAAAACAGCCGCTTTAAAGACTCTATTATTAAATCATTTTATCAAGCAAATATGAATTGGTATGAATAAATAAACACAAATTTCATTGCCAACTATTTCTCATTTTTCACATGAAAATCATTCTTATGTTATATCCTTTTGTCAAGAAATGAAAAAAAAAAAAGTTGGAAGAGTTCTTCATTTTCAGCAAAAATCTGTTTCGTAACAGAAATAGGAAGGAAGAAGTTGATTGATGTTATTTTCATTTCTAAAACATCAGCCGCCTTCTTTTCTTATTCCACCCGTCTCTTCCAATGTTCATGACAAAATTTTTTTTAACAAACTATTTAAAAAGTCATCAAGGTCAAATATTTATTCAGAAAGAATTTTTTTGAATGATGTTTTGTAAATTAGATTTTTTTAACGGTTTTTGCTTCTCAAAGTAAATTTCATTTGAAAGAAATTCAAAAGAAAAATTTTTTTTCGTTTCTACATTGCCGAATTAATTTTGATGAATAGTAATTTTCATAACAAATGAAGTTGGATTATAGGTGAAAAGAAGGACAATACAATTCCAGAAAATTGTCGCTATTAAATTCCAGAAGATTCCAGTCTACGTAAATCGTAGAGGATTCTAATTATTAAATAATTATGCCTTGAAAAATTTAACGCATTCCTATATTGACAATATAAGTTTTATCTGTCTTTTAAAAGGAGAAGCTTTGTCGATTTACTGTTGACAACTAATTCATTTTTTTATTGAAATTCTTATGCTGTTATTCAACTTCTAAAAATCTGGCAATCAGTTTTCAGTATAAATTTATACTGTGTTACCTAACTTCCTTAGCTCATACTAACTTATGTAATAATTGGTACTTTAAGCATTTCCGATTTCTTTAAGCGTCATGTTTAGAAACGAATTTAAATTGAAGACAAAAAGATCACGACAGGATTAGTATGTTTCTGTTAGAGAACATTTCTCTTCATTGGCCAGTGTCATTCTAATCAATGAGCCAAGTTTATATTCCATTGTTCTGTTGTCACAACTAAACTACTTCTGTTTTACCAGTTAAAAGTAGGTAGGTATTTTTACTTATGGTATTGTAACACTCTAATCTTATTGTTTTCTGTAGTGACTGATCCTGCATTCCTGCACTCTTCCAGGGATAAAAGATTACAGAGAAGGGAGAGGGGAGGTTATAGATTTTGTAAAAAATTCTGTCTTTATTACTCTTATTTAAGAACAGAACTTAATTTGCATATTAGCAACAACTTTCATAAATTGTAAAAGTGAACCTGTTAGCTTCCACTGAAATGGTAAAGTAGCACAAATATTCCACTGTGTGTTTTGGCCTTATTTGTCAAATGCAAATGTTTCCTTTCCTTTCAAAATCGCTGCTGCTTTGATGAGATGGCAAAAGGACGGTTCGTTTCATCGTTTGTTTGAGGAGAGATGCGCAGGTATCGATAATACAAATATACTACAATTCCATCAACCCTGCAAATGCAGCAGCATTTCCTCTCGTCTCTTTAACATTCATTGACCTCTCTCAGTACTTACGAGTTAGCCAGGAAACGGCTTACACTAGTTGCACTGTCACCTATCAAAGTAGTTATTATCCATCGGTATATGTTATTTCCTGCTTTAAGCTCAAATTTGAAACAATTTGAAAAATCTAATTTTCATTTCAGAAAGGTGGGCTTTGACAAGTTTCGGATTGTCTAATTTTGTTAAAAACTATTAAAAGCAGCCTTACCCTAACCTCTCCCTGTGTCCTCACTTTCACTTACTACCGTCTCCTGCTGTCCCTCCTGTTTACTACTGTGTTTGTTCTGTATATCCGTATCTATCATCATCGATCCTCTGTATCACTTCTACCTTCCTCAGTCACTGGTGCAATGATCGTTTCTCTTTCTCGTTATCCCATCTGTTCGTGACCACTGCAAATAGCATCTCCAACCGCGTCTCCTTAAAATTGATTCACAAGTATTTTTGGATGGATGTATCATTACACTCTGATAGGACTGTTCCTGTTCATTTCTGATTTACCGGATTACTCTAGTCGGAAAATTGAAAATGCTACAAATTGATATACTTGCTTCAGAAGAGTTCCTTCAGATGAATCCAGAAATTTGTGAGATTTAAACGTTTTAGTTCGTATTGTTGGGAATATGTTAATTAAGATTGCATGATGGACAGCGAGGAATGGTGGGAAAGAATATGTTGCTGTGATAGACTCATTATTTGAGAGTGTAGTCGGTCTGTAATGGATTTTAATCAGTTGTTCTCGTCATTGCTGGACACTTTGATCAAAATTTGTTGAATATTTCCTGTGCGTTAGATATGTTAATCTTCTGTTTTTGCCATGCCAAAAAGTTTATTCTCGTCATTAATACTCCATTCATGTCAAGATTTCCTCCTCCCTTAAATGCTGTCATTCATTTGTTTATTTTAGCTCTAACTAACTGATTACTTCTAGAATCATTAGGGACTAGAAAAGCTAATATCTTTCACCCATCGAAATTCCCTCCTTACTTTCTGTTTTTGTGAATGGAAACTTCCCTTTGTTTTAATTTAACTCTTTGCTGTTTATCGGAATATTTGATGTGAAATTCAGAAAACTTTCATCATCTTCGTTGTGCTTTACTTTTCTTCTTTTCAATTTGTTAACCAGTTGTTGGTAATGTCCAGATATCGTCTCTTTCTTTTGTCCACTTTATACGATTCAACGCAATCCACCTGATGCTTTGCTAATGATAGCGATGGTCCAGTACGTCCTCTCATTCCTTTCAAAACGACCCCTTTGACTTTAAAGAAATTTAAGCTCCTCCTAGCTAATTTGCATCATATCTATGTGAATTAGCTAGGAGGAGCCTAAATTACTTTTGGATGATTTTAAACGAAACATTTGAATGGATAATTTCATTCTTTCTTTATCTAGAAATCCAAAACTTTTAAATTTGATCCTTTTTTCGAAGAATCGAATTATCATTTATATTGATCAAAATAACTTCAGTAGGTTACATATGAGCTGAATAAAGTTACTGTTTGGATCAAACGAACTACGAATATATTATTCATCTTTCGTTCGTGTCATTTGTCATCCGAGTAAAACAGAGAGCACCATTTAAAATTTCAAAAATAGCGCGGAGACAGTGTACGAAGAACTAATCGGTCTTCTAATTAATTAAGAACATAACTACTGGTTGCCTTGACACGTAATGTTTACTTTGCAATATTTAATATGGTACTTTGTAGTTATCTGTAGCCGTGTATTTTATTCGTAAAAGAACGTAGAGACGTTATCAATTGATGACACTGATGCATTTTTCCTGCTTGAAGTAATGATATATTAATTGAAAGTTTGCAGTGTTTAAATATTTATAATAAAAATGGTTAAAAAAGTGAAATTCTTTCGCGGTGGGATTTCATTTTTTCAAACTGCCGAAGCAGTTTAAGACGGGCGTAATTCAAAAGTACAGTACTGGACAGAGATAGAGTCTTCACCTTGCACTATACTCAGCTTATTTGTGAATAAGCCAAGGCAATATTTCGTGGTGTGAGGTAGCCTGGTAGTTTGTTGGTATTAATCAATATGTAAACAGAAGTTCCATCATTTTGTACTGTTTCCTTTTTCATTGGGATGAATGTTACCTGGCAACCCTAATTAATTAAGATGCGTACAAACTTTAACGATAAAGCGGTCTCTATGCTTTGTCGATGTTTTAGGTTGTGTTCCTGTCTACCACTAGTGTCTTACTCGATACTCTTATATATTAGTAACAATTTTTTATTGATGGATTTGAACCATTCATCCATGCGTGCTTTTTCAAAAGCATGGAGAATGTTATCTGTATTGCATAAAACGCTAAAAAGAATTTGCAAGAAAAATCAGTTTCTTAATTCCATATATAAATGTTTTCCCGGCGATGGAATTGATACTGAGATTTCATATGAAAATGAACAGAGAATGCTCCCTGTTGGTACTTATGAATGAAGTAAAGAATACTGAGCAACGGAAGAATTTTAGAGTTGGAAAATGAAAATTGTTCTTTCTCATAGGAGCATTACCGCATATATACCATTTTATTTAGAAAAGTGAAGAGTGGAACTCATCGCTTCTCCTCGTTAAGTTCTATCGAAGCTTGTCACATCATTGAGTACTTCTGTATCATCTCTCCTCTTCTACATATTACGTCCTATTATTGAATCTATTTTTAATCGAGATGACACAATTTCGATGTTATTAAAAGATTTTCTAACAGATAGTAGCGGAGATATGGAGTTGGGTGGAGAGCAAGATTGAAAGTGATGAAAAGATCATAGAGATCATCTGCTCCTGAGGAAGGGGAAATATCGCAGAGCATGTCATGTCCTCTCTTTCCTCTCTGTGAGGAATATGTAATCCTCCTGTCGTCATTTTAGCATCTCTTCTTTATCCAATTGATTGATGAGATCAGACCTCCCATTCTTATAGTATTCGAATCTAAGACTTAAAGTTTATAAAATCTGAGATTAAGCAGAAATTAGGCATATTGCACGGCGTCATATTATCTCTATCATTCAGTTATTATTCATAACAGCCTCACAATGTCCATCAAAATGTGTTCATTCCATTTTTTCATTATTGTAAACTCGATGTATTTATGTTTCGTATTGTAGAATCGTGTGTTACTATTTTTAACGCTAATCAAATCAAACAGAGTCGAGGTCGATATCTATCGAGCTATATCATGTTGACAATCTTTTTTGCATATCTTATTGAAATGGTTATATGAAATGCTGAAGAAGTCATTGTTTTTTGATTGATTTCTCCCATCTGTAAATAATCACCGGCATTAGCACTGCATCGATGAGGGAAGATGTGGAGTTAACGTGACGTAGTGATTTAAAAGTAATGGTCAAACTAATGGTACATTTAACAGTATCAGTTGTTGAGCTCTGCGAAGAAAGGCAGTCATATTTTTTGTAGCCAAGAAGAAGGTACCTTACCCTACAGCGTAAAAACTCAAAATCCATATTTTCTCAATCTATAATTGATTCGTTATATGTAGAAATTTTCAGTTAGTATTCCGTTTCTGATCAAAAAAAAAGCGTATTTGAAACGTCCATACCGCATTGTTGCGAGATATTTCGCCATCCTACACTTTGCCATTTTAGTAGCCATTTAATTCCTTCTTTCCTGTTCGTTATCTGTTTTTATCATCGCTTGATGAATAAATAGTATAGAAAAATATAGAAAAAATAATAAATATCTCTATAGAGAAACGATAATAGAGAAATTTTATAAAATTAGGGAGATACTTGAAATGTTTGTCGTTTCCTGGTTGTCAGTGTTAACTGAAATTTTTTTAGAATATTTTGAAGTTTTAGTTTGCAGCAGTTTTACTGCTCTCAGCTGTTTTCCTATGTATTTAATTGTATTCTTTGAAATGCTGAGGAGTTCGAATTTCAACCCCAGTTATTTTGCAGATAGTGGATGATGCTTTATTAATCAGAGTAAAGGAAAATAGTCAAAAAAGCAACGAAAATATAACAACAATTGCTGATATAAATATGAGCAAGAAATGTGAAGCTTTCATTATCGACGATGGACCTACTGAGGTTACGACATACATAATAGACCATAACATTTATTCTCAGGAATTTAACGAGTTTAGTAAATATTGATGCTGAGAGTGGTAAATTTATTATTATGAAATAATTTCCATATAATAGGAAGCTTTGCTAATCTTGTCATAATTGTATAACAAAAATCACTTTCAGCTACTCATGCCTCGATATATTTATTTGATACTTGACTTGTGCTTTTTCATTATGATATATTTTGTTATCGACAGGAGAAATGGCTAATTTATGGAGAAGCTGGGAAAACTCAGTAATGCCTTTTCGAAATCTTTTACAGTTTCTCGATCAGGCGGTACCGACAACAGTTATGAATAAATGTGTTCCGATAGAATGTACGAGTAATCCAGTTATCGATATACTAGCTTCAACAGCTATGGATGTAAGGATTACTCTTATTCTTTCAGGTTTTAGATGGAGAACTGCTAATGCAATACTACTTTTTATTAAAACTTAATTTAGATGAGAATAGCGTTTGAAATAAAAACGTTTTTATAGTAAAGTTTTATTTTACTGAAATTTCTATCTGTATATGTTGAGGTCATTTGTTGTTTTGAAAAACAAAATTGATATGTGAGAACAAATCTCTACTGAGAATTAGTCATCGGCGGGTGAAAATGGCTGTCGGCGAACAACAATACCAATGTAAAGCTGTATTTTGTTTCTCCAATCGTTGTGTAAAAAACTTTTTCACTAGTTCCATGTAACTCCCTGGAGGAAATAGCTATAATACTGTAGTAGTTTAGTTATGATTTCTTGCTGAAAATGACAGGGAAAATATATTGCAGAAGAGAAGCTGTTTTTAGATGTTTTTAGATTTTTAAACCTTTGCTGTTCCTGAGTTGCATTTTTATTCTCTCTGCATAATTGATTTATGAAGACTTCCAAATGTTGCATTAGCTAATCATTTCATTTACATTTGTATCGGAAAGATTATGCCAATTTCGACGTTTAGTTGTGATTTTTATTTCAGCATCCTAAATCGCCGCCAAACTTCAAAGTAAGTATTGGTCGTATGAAAAAATCTACAGCAGTACAATGTGACAGACGCACAACCTCATCAAAAGATAAGAGAAAAAGCAAATTCGTTGAAGTAAGTTGATGCTAGCTGATTTATTTCTTTAAAAGTTTTAAGGAAATAATAAAATTTCTTTTTGTCCATATGCACATGTAAGTAACAATAAATAATGGAATTAAATTAATCTTTCATTTACTTTGTAGTTGAATCAGAATCAAAACTGGAGTGACTCAGAAACTTTGTGTACTTTAATTTCCAATAGAATTAAGTATTGTTTAAGAAATAAACCACTTCAAGTTCAAATGTGCAAATATATACCGTCAGCACTTTTGCAGTTGTTAAACCATGGAGAAAAAAGTCAAGATGGTGCAAAAAGTGCAAGTGAAAAAGGGATCACGCTGTTGGAACAAATTATTCGCACGCATCCCATTTGGTATTTGCAGCATATCGGCCGTTCCGCTGCTATCCATTTGCTTCGCCCAATGAATGAAGGGGTAAATGTAGTTTCCAGTCGTTTTCTAAATTCAAACAGGAAAATCGTTGCTCATAAATGAATCGTGTAGTGCGTTGTGGCAATTTGATCAGATTTTAAAATGCGTAATTCTCTACACTTCATTGCTTTTTTATATCTACAATTGAGATTTTGGAATTTTCACAGTTCTAACATTAATTAATCATGATAATGTATTATTTCTTAAATCGAATATTTTTTATGGATCTTTTTTTCTTGATTCGGATAATTTATGAAGTTTAAACAAATCCGAGTGTGCAGTTTAAGAGATAAAAGTTTAATTCTGTTTCCTTAATTATTTTTAGGCTTTTATTGTGCGGTCATCATCAAAGCCTAATTCAATGGCATTAAGTATTCGTTCACCTCCTGGTTTAGCATCCGATATTGATCATTATCTAATCGAATCATCCGGTTCGGATAAAAGTGTACGTGTAGAATCGTCGCCATACTATTTTAAATCACTTCCTTTATTAATTGAACATTATTGTTTGAACGGGTAAGTTATAATTTTTAGATATCTTGATTTAGATGTTTTTGAAATTTTTGAAAACCTTTAAATGCCAAAGAACTTTGTAATCGGAAGTGTATTTTTGATTTGTATTCTTGCTATGTTGTTTTAAATGAACACTGCCAAAATTATCGGTGATTAGGAACAGCACGAGCATTGCGTTGTCATGCAGAATACTGAGAGCACACTATGCTTCAATAAAATTCTTTTTTGACGCTTTGACGTACCTGTTATACGAATCAAAAGATTAAACATATATTCTTTAATTTTTCATTTCGTATGGACATTTAAAAATAAATGTTAAATATATACAATAGAATTAATGTTAAGTACTTAGTTTTATCAGTGGAAATTATGTAAGGATTTGATAAAAAAAATGAAATTTACATAGTATGTTCACTCAAACTTTAGGGATATTGCATATCCTTATGTACTGATATATCTAAGAGGAAAGTTATAGAAATCGTGAATAAAAAAACATTTGATTTTTTTCTTTATTTTCATATGTCGCTTACCATAAATTTGCTGTGCTCTTACTCTGAGACCTTATCCCTTGCTTATTATGATTAAGTTTGAAATGTGAAATGAAATTTAGAAATGTAAAAAAAGGAAAAAAAACTTGAATACATGAAATTCATTTTCTGTCATTTTGATTTTCAGTGAAGAACTTCAGACTAATCTTGTCTTACCGGTTGCAATTACACGCTGCTGTACGAGCATGCAGTTACAGAGTCTGGCACTGATGGGTCAAGGTTAGTGTAGTGTTTAACATTCTTTTATTTTCTGCATTTTCCACTATTATCCTCCAATGTCCTTTATTTTGGTAATTGTTTGTATGGTATTTCTTGTATTCTTAATGGTTTTATAAGTCTTTTTGTAGTTCTTTCATCAAGGTAGCGGAAAATTTAAGTTTTCTACTTCCAAGTTTTAGGGCTGACATAAAAGTTGGCGAACTTCAGTCTGTTTTTTTGACGGTTTCGTCTTCTGTATGCTTGCTGCCTTCATTCTTGCTTTTTATTTTTTTGAAAAAAATATACTGAATTAGGTAAATGAGTTTTTTTTTTTTAATTTAAGGATTTATGATATGGCGGGCTGTTTTTGACATCAGATAAAATTGTGTCGGAAACAAATTGTAAATTATGTTGGATCTCATTCCCAAATGCTAATTTGGTGCATGCATTTTCTCCAACTTTATGCACAGGGGGTTCTCTCTTCGCAGTTTTCAAATTTGAATCTAGTGGTTGTGGATTGCTGTGAAGTGAGGTATATATACATATACATATATGGTAGAGCAGTAGAACATTTTCTCGTTGGTGACCTTTGTCCTTTCCGAACATTTGTCTGTCATTCCTGCTTAAAAAAGAATTACCCTTCTTTAATTAATGCGTTCGCACTTCTTGGATATTTTTCTTGTGCATTTTTTGTCCAATTTTCCTGACTTTTGAATCGGTTTGAATAAAGCGGTTACGCAAAAAATAGGCTGTTATAAATCAGTGTTAAATCCAACAATGGTAAAATTAACAAAATTCAAAATCGAGTCTTTTTAATCACTTATGAAAACTGAATTTCTTGTAAAACAGGCAGTTATTTAATATTCAGTATGCTTAGAATGAAGTGATGCAGCTATAAGCCACAGAGAATTAATGTAGCAGTGAATAAATAGTTGATGTTTAAAAGAAGATGCTGGGTAAGTTCCTGTGCAAAATATATCCTTTATATTTTGTAATATATGAGGATTTATAAAAGATTCAGGCAAAATAAAAAATTTACGCCTGATACTTAAAATACTTAAAGTATCAGCCGTAAATTTTTTATTTTCGAAATTAAGTTTCTTTTTCCAGCTTATCTTACATCTAGGATTTCCGTTTACTACTATTTTAAAGTATTCTGTTTTTCTAGTATTTGTTTTAAATATTAAATTATTTCAACTTAAAAATACTGGCAGGTTGGTTTTTCTTTAAAAATAAATTGTTTTTGAGAGTAATCTTTTGTTTCGTTGCTGGACGCTACATGCCAAGAAAATCCCATTAGAAAGCAGCATCTCTCTGTATACTTCTGCGCATAGATACAGCTAATGTTATGTTAGCTTACAGAATTGGTTTGTTTTCAATGCAATCTAGTTTGTCAAGCTCTTCATACAAAAGTTCTTTTTTTCTTCTTGGATTGAAATTTAGCATCTATTTAATGTTGTAATGTTTAAGGTCAATCAACTTAGGGAAAAAATATTCCAATGTCTCGACGCACTTTTTTCCGTTATTCACGATAAAGTGAAAGTATGCTTTATATTTTTATTTATTGTTGTTGTCTGATAACATTAACTGAAGATTTCCAAGTTAAAAATTTCTGTTATTTCACATATAAAAATTAAATAGGTGGAAGAAAGCAATTTCCATATATTTGTAATCAATAAGAGGCAAAGAATTCAAGTTTTGTTGAATTAAAACTTCGTCTTCACGCCATCGGAAAGAAGATATGTAGAAGAGGACATAAACTTTTTTAACAGCAATTATAAGATTATTGAGGAAATTTGCTGTTTGTAAAGGAAATTCGGATTTATTCATGTTGAGGTATGGGATGCAATTTTCAAAAATAAAAAATTTGATTGCATAGTAATTATTACTTTATTATATTTCTTTTCATGGTTTCTTTGACCTCTATTTTACCAACCTCAACTCTTATATTTATAATTTCTTCCTTATCTGTCGTTCAAGGGCCTTTCACCATTCAATGTTGTCCACAGTGTTCTAATCTAAATTCTTCGCTCACTTGGATTTAATAAGGAGTAAAGAATTTGCTTCGTAATTCACCTAGTCATTGTCATATCTTTATTATTATTATTATGATAAATCTGAAAATGGTCTAATAGAACTTGAAGCATACAAAAATAGAATGGTTCTCACAAATCTTTACAACGTGGCTGAAGATTTTGTTGATATTTCGTGTTTAAGTAATCTAAAGTTTGATTTTCCAGAAAATATTTATGCGCTCATTTATATCTGACAATAAATGACTATTATGACTGGACCCCATTTTGTATTAGTAAAGGCAAAGAATCAGAGAACCTTTCTTTCCTGGTGAATTTCTTATCCTCCTATTAATATTCTTGGAATGAGGTTTCTTATGCCAACATTGGGATAAATTATAATTCGTCAAACCACTGATTTAAAAATTATAAATTTTTCTAAATCAGTGGTCAAACCTCTGATTTAGGAAAAACTTTCGAGTTTTACAGGATTCCTCGAACCTTTGCTTATAAAAATGTCAAGAAATCCTGTCGCGCAGATGCACATTCTTATATTTAAAAAATTTTTCAAGTGAGATGAAAATTTTTCAGTTTTGAAAAAAGAACTGGAATGAATTTTTTCTTTAACTCTGGAAATTTGTTTGAAAAATTAAAATAAAAAAATTTTTTTTCAACTCAAATGAAAAAAATTTAGTTCAGAAAATGATAGAAAGACATACGGTGTCTTTGACTTTTCCATACAAATTGAAAACATCAAATTTCATTTGTATTCGATATTTTTTTAACAATCTGACCCATTTCAATGCATCACTTAGATGGCTGCGTTATTCATCATCTGGCTGTTTCGATCTGAAGGTCCTCTTGCAGTTTGTAAAATTTACGATTTCAGTATTGATTGAAGCTGCGGATCCTTGAATTTAAGGATTCGTAAAGACTAGCTTATTGTAAGTTCTAACTGCATAACACACTTAAAGATGCGAGGAAGCAATACTGAGCAGTTGTTAAGCTTTACCAAAGGATTTGAAGCTGCAACACACGCTGCCCTTCACATTACTTTTGATGTTTAAAATATTTAAGTTACTTTGATTCAAAATAAAAGAAATTAGAGAGAATAAAACAAATCGCTTAAATTAGTCATCTGAAATGGACCTAGCGATAAGGTAGGTTGAAATTTTGTATAAAAAAGGTTTTCAAATAATATTCTATAAAATGTAATTGGCGGTTTTGAATTGACCTTCAGCCCTGACCCTTTCGTCTTTCTTGCTTCTCTTTCCTTCTTTTCCCTTTCAAATTCACTGCTTTCAATACCATAACTTTCAGTATCGTAAACAAATGTCCTAGTGTTGACAGATATTTTATTGTTATTGTTAATTCTTTCTAAAATAAACTCCCACTTTATGCTGCTTTCACAGTTTTTTCCGTTTCCTGAATTTGTAAATAATTATATTCCTTCCCTGTTCAGTATTGTATGATGCTCAAGTGGAATTTTATAGTGTAAGCTGATAAGTATAAACATAAGTATAGGTTGTGATGAAAATAGTTTTAGAAAATGCCATTAACCCAAATAGAACAGCCGACTTGAATCAATTCGATGTAAATATGGCTTGTTTCAGTTCTCTGAGGGAACTTAATTGTGTAATTGTGCTCGAAAATTCTTTTCATTTTTTAAAAGTGGCATAAATTATGTATATATATATATATATATATATAAAACGAAAAAAAATCTAAATGGCGAGCATTTTTCTTTAAATTTTGGTTACAAATACTGCTTAAAATCTTTGTTTTCGAAATTGTTACTGCTGAGAATTAGAAATTGTTTGAAGTCCGCTATTCCGTTTGGATATCATTTTCATGCTTAAATATAAATGGATAAACAGTCATATATGAAATGAACAATGATAAACATGTATGATATGTTGAGAAGGATGCTTAGAAACATAATTGTCATACTGCTACAGCTGTTTATCACTTATTTTTACTTATGGCATCGTATTGTGTAAAGGGAAGTATTAATTAAAAAGTTGTTTAAACTCTTATCCGTTTGTGAGTGTTTAATCCATCCTTACTTTGACAATGTCTGTCTTTTGATTTGCAAATTAAACTCTTTTGAGTTAGCATTTTGTATGTTTCACTATGGTACATGGGAACGCAGTTTTTCGTGAAAACGGTTGTGCGAAATTGTTTAAAATTTTAGTATGTATCATCACTTTGTGATGTAATGTGCATCATTTTTTTCCTTTTTTTTTTGAGATGAAACATGAAATTGTTTAACGGAATTTTTGACCACATTCCTTCTAACAAATAATGCCCAATACATTATCTTAACGGTCAGGTCAAGATTTGCTCTTCCAATCAGTTTCTTCATCACTTTCTAATATTTTTTAAAGATTATAAGAGAAACCTAATATGAGGAATAAGAAAATATAGCCTTTTTTGTGTTTCTAACAAATTTAAAAAATAATCTTTTCCATAAAAGTTTTGTTAAAGTGATAACGATCAAAATCTACTTATAAAGTACTACTTCCGTTATGTATATGTGAAACATATATTAAAATATATATATAGAAAATTAAAAGCGGAATTTGTTATTTGGATGTTTGCCGTATTTGGACTTCTACTTTGTGGTTTTATTAGGAATGGCAACAGAAATAATTTTACCTTTTTTAAGTGTTTTTGAAATTTCAAAAGAAGGAAGACTAAAGAAAACATTGTTTCTGATCTGTCGATGTGCTACTATAAATTTATGCATGCTAACGTTATACATCATGCATATATTTATGTTGTCGTCTGTATTGATAGTGATCATTTTAAACAGCTGCTGCATTCATGCATTTACACCGTGAATCCGAAAATCTTTTCCAGATTTTATACTCTGTGTTGTGGCAATGTTCTTTAAGTGCTTTTCATAGATTTTTTAAATTTCAAGTGGATGTATTTTTTGAGGCTCAAAAAATTGTCTACAAAATACACAAAACAAAAAAATACAAAATACAATGCAAAATTGCAAAAACAGT